TCATCAGTCTGAATTCTGTTCCTTTCCACTCAGAAAAGCGTCTCAAGCTAGGCTTTCTTGAAAACTCAATTGGGATGTAATGCAAGATCATTAAGTAAACCTGACAAAGTCTGAATTTCTTGTCCGCTCATGCGAGCTGTAACTGGACCTCTAGCTATTACAAATTGCAAAAATCTCTTCATAACTCCTGCTATTTCTATCAAATGAAAACTATCCATAGGAAATTGTTAAATAAATTTTGCTTGTAGTTCAATAAGGGGAGAATTTCCTGTGTGATGTTCTGGGTCTCTTCGACTATCAAATGACTCATCAGTTCTTTCTCTATCCCAATTTTGGTAGAATAATAAACGAAGTCATCATAACTCCCTTCTTGATCACATCTTTCACATCCATCATGTGAGGTAGAACCTTTTATACACTTCAAATAGGCACGAGCAGGTGCATCGCCCAAGTAATACCTAATATCGACATCAAAATGTCTGTTTTCAAATACAACACCTTCACGTCTAAGATCTTTAATTTCTTGGATATAAAGTTACTTAAATAATTTTGAATTGGTTTAGGTTTTCCTAATCCGTAAAATATTCCAATAACAAATGGCGTAGAATCTACAAAATCTTTGCATTTGGCCAGAATAGGCCAACACTCTTCGGAAACATTTCTATAAACTTTTACACCATCAACAAAAACATCTAGCATAATTGTGTTACAATTTTTGATGCCATGCTTTAGTTTTGACATGATACCACATCTTAGGCCGACATGGGAATATTCCCCATTAGAAAGCATGATCAGTATAGTTTTCTTTAGAGTTCTCGAATCTCTAGGCAGTTCTGGATGAAAAGAACTTAATAATTTACAAATAAATGAGCGAAAGAAAAGGGAAGGTTACCGCACATTTCGTAGAAAAATTAATTATTAAAGCATAAATTGCTTGATTTGTCGTCTGCTAGACTGCCACAGTCGTGAACAACGTAAACAGCAGCACGCACTATACACGCGGCGACCAATCAGAGCAATCCCCTTCACTCCCACTACTTCAAACGCTAGTGCGCTGTTGCCAGAACCCCCGCGTCCCACTACTCCCATCGATAAAGCCATCGAACCTCCTTAATTGCGCAAGTAAAAATTATTGTCCCGACGCTCGACGGGGCAGAGGGTTCTTCACCCCAACTAAGATTTACACTCGGGGCGAATCCTCCGCTAAATAACAGTGTAAATCTCAGGCTGCGCGAGAAGGATACGCCGTGACAGGCGATAACTTATGGAAAACACATTAATTGTGCAGATTAATCTTCCAAAGCACATTAACGCGACCACTCTGCCGAACAGTTGCGTGCAAATCTTCGACACGGTATTCGGCAACTTCCCCGGCGTCACCTTTACATTAAGTGTACAATTTAACACAGGTTGTATTTTTGACCAAACTGACATTTATTCTTACGTTAACTCGACGTTTCGACACTGGTTTTGTGTCCTTATCAAGAGATTTCTAAAAGTATACAAAACAAAGTCGTTACAAGCATGTTGCTACAGGAACGAATGTCGCACGAGAAACAATCAAGGAAATATCTACCTATCTCGATCATATTGTTCGCAAATTGCATTAGCCACCCACAAATCTTAAAAAAGTCGCACTTTAGAGCGAGCCGCAGTCATAATGTGACCGGAACCGACCGGTGACACGTCGTTCCGGATCGAAAGACAGCGACTGACTAATCGCCGATATATAAATAAACGACTGTATAGGTCAAACAAATAAAAATAACGCTTAGAGAGTAATTATTACGTGGCTTTTATGATTCTATCGTATAGCGGATTGAGATTCTCAGTGTCTTTTTTTAAATTGATCGTGTTCTTTTGTTCTTTTTTTATGTAAAACATCTCTGCAATCTCCCTCTTCCTTACATTTCTCTCTCTATGCATAATTTCCGTATCGGACCATTTAAAATTATGCCCGTGTGTAAGTCGGTGCTTGCTAACAACGGAGTGTTTGATTTGTGTACAATTTAATCTCCCATACCAAATTCTATTGATGGAACCTCCTGTCTTCCCATAAGAATTTAAAATTGATGACAAAGCACATTCATTGTACAATTTAATTTCCCATATTGTCCCATCGAACTTATCGATGGGACTTCCTGTCCTCTCCTAACAATTTAAAATTGATGAAAAACATATTATTTTAAACTTTTTAAAACTGTTGGTAATTATGCAGATGATTGTTAACTTGACACAAGAAATATATTTCAAGTTCATTAAACACAGTGCGACGAGTTAATTCTTTTTCCGACCCGGAATTCTCAAATCCTGTGCCGACCCTGAGCACCAACTCCTGGTTACGGCACAAAAATATAAAAAGGTAAAATTTTCTAAAAATTTAATACATATATCGAGACATATATAGTAAAAAATACTTTATTCTATATCACACGTGCGTGGAAAGTGGCCCATTACGCGCGCGCCATCTGTGCGACAAATAGCCAATTCCACACGCGAGAAATTCCCCACTCGAACCCGTGCAGGAATGAGATATTTCCGCACGGCTTCGAGTGAGAAATCTCTCGCGCGTGCGGAATCGGTCATCCGTCGCACAGATGACGCGCACGCAATAGGCCACTTTCCACGCACTTTGTAATATAAAATAGAGTGTGTAACACGTGCGGGTTGAGAATTGGACACTCGTGCGGGTGATCGCACTCGTCTTTGGCTCGTGCGTCCACTCCGCATCTCGACTTCCCGCACTTGTTACACAAATAACTATTCCCAGACGGGACGTTGAAACGGACGCTCATACAGCGGCTGTCAGCATCCCAGGAGCAACGAACGTGACAGCTATTGGAGCACGAGGAACTTGGCGACAGGAAGCCATCACAATTTCTACGCCACTTGCGAGGACTGGCAGGCACCGCAGTGCCAGATAGCCTACTAGCGAACTGTGGCTGGGGAGATTACCAGCCCAGATGCAGGTCATCCTAGCAACACGTCAAGGAGACCGATTAGAAGAGGTCGCAGAGCAAGCCGACCGCATACATGAAGTCAGCGTCCGCGCAATCGTCGCGGCAGTAGAACCAGCAGGCACAGAAAGGACATCTTTAAAAGCGCAGATCTAGGCGCTAACAAAACAGATAGCAGCTCTAACGACACAGTTTTACAAGGAAAGCGATGGAGAGAGAATCGGTCCCGCAGCAGAGAGCAAAATCGCGGCCGCAGCCGCAGCCGTAGCCACACCAGGGGATTTACAACGGAACACTGCTTTTATCACCGGACCTTCAAAGACAAGGCACGAAAATGCGAGGATCCACCGGAGGCCTGCCGACCGAGACGCCTGGCGCCGGACAAACTAAAAGCAGCAAAGATAGAATTCAACCTATTACAACGAGAAGGAATAATCCGGCCTTCGAAGAGTCCGTGGGCAGCACCACTGCATATGGTCCCCAAGAAAGCGGACCAATGGAGAGCATGCGGAGACTACCGCCCAGTAAACAGGCGGACCAAGCCGGACAGGTACCCGGTACCACATATCGAAAACTTCTCACAGTCTCTTTACAAAAAGACCATTTTCTCAACAATAGATCTGGTCAGAGCATACAATCAGATACCAGTCAACCCGGAGGATATACCGATGACGGCCATCATCACACCCTTCGGCCTATGCGAATATGTATACATGCCGTTCGGCCTAAGAAACGCCGCACAAACATTCCAACGATTCATCAACGAAGTATTACGAGGACTAGATTTCTGCTATGCTTACATCGATGACATATTGATAGCTTCCACAAACGAGGAAGAGCATGAGCGCCATTTGAGAGAAGTATTCGGGCGCCTGCAACAGTACGGGATACGACTGAATCCGGCCAAATGCACCTTTGGGGTGCCAGAGGTACAATTCCTGGGATACCTCGTCTCAAAGGACGGAACACGACCACTGCCAGAAAAGGTAGAAGCGATACGAAACTTCCGAAAACCGGAGACCATAAAACAACTCCGACGATTCCTCGGCACAATCAATTTCTATCGCCGATTCGTGCCAAGCGCAGCAAAGGAACAAGCAGTACTGAACGACGTACTCGCCGGAAAACAGAAAAAAGGAAATAAGACGCCGGTCGAATGGACACCGAAACTAGAAGCTGCCTTCGAGCATTGTAAGAGGAGCCTTGCCCAGGCGACGCTTCTACCCCATCCACAACCCAACGCCCCGGTAACCCTGACGACGGACGCCTCGGACACCGCCATAGGAGCGATCATACACCAGCTGGTGGAAGCACAGCCACTAGCGTTCTTCAGCAAAAAGTTGTCTAAAGCACAAACGAAGTACAGCCCATACGACAGAGAGCTGATGGCAATATACGCGGCAATAAAGCACTTGTACACAGACCATAAACCATTGGTATACGCGATGATACAAAATCCACTGAAAAGTTCGCCAAGACAAGCCCGACACCTCGAGTTCATAAGCCTCGAGTTCCAGCTCAGACATCGAATCCCTTGGAGGGACCACGACAAAATATTTTTATGATAAGGCGTTGGCTATATTCTCTCCAAACCGTGTTTTGGTATCTTTACTAGTTACCGAGATATTCCGACTGTAAGTTTTCAAATTGACACCCTGTATAAAATAGAATGTCTGTATGTCTGTTCTTTATACACTCTTAAACTATTCGACCGAATTTTTACCAAAAGTATATAAAATAGGGGTAGAATTTTCCGGGGAATGCTTTTACATTAATATACCGATTTATCGATTTATAGTTAAAACCGGTTTAAAAATTTTACTAATTTTTTGAGGATGGGTTTAATTGCCACAATGTGTATTATTTTTCAATAATAATTTTTTTTTTTTAAACCGGTTCAAAAATTTAACTAATTTTTCGAAAATATAAAGGATTCTTTGCAATTGCCTGATAAGCAATTGCCTGATAAGCAATTGCCTGATAAAGGCATTTTTTTTTTATTAAGGATATTGAAACTCAAATGAAGTCGTTTGAAGAAAAACGACTCCCGGGCGAAGCCCGGGTAACCAGGCAGCAGCAGTTCACATGCTGCTTCACAAATTCGGAAATGTGTATATGTGTGTACATGTGTGTGTAACTGTGTATAAATGGCTGCGATGTTAAGAACTCGGGTCTTAAGGCCAAAGAATTGCGCGGGTTAATCCTCTCTACGGGTATTCCCTTGATACACACAACTCAAAATATGCGATAACAACCGTAATAGTTTTTACTTATTTAAACTGTAGCTTTGTCGGCAACTTTGTCGCTGTCGCTATCGCTATCGCTAGAATCCATAATTATTTTGGGAAATCGGACTGGATCCCAATTAGATCCAAAAGAAATTTCTATGCGGGTATTTCTTTCAGACAGTATCGCTTCGAGATTAAAAGTTGAAAGGGGCCTGATCTCCCCTCACCTTGACGCACCTTGAAGATACAGAGAGAGAGAGAGAGAGAGAGAGAGAGAGAGAGAGAGAGAAGAATGGCGACTCTGTAATTCGTATTTGCGAGTCAGCCGATCGAAAGTTTGCGCTCCTTCTCCTTCATCGAAAACACATCGATAAACTGTCTTAAGGGTCTTACCTCTCTGCCTGAAGATCAATCGCGTGAGGAATCTCGTCTCCTTTTACGCCTCCTCTGTTTGCTCGACGAGTTCATTTTCTTCCCTTCTTTAGTTTTTCTCCCGTAGAAAGTGTGGATTGTCCGTATCTCTTTCGCCTCCTGTCCTCCTTTCCTTTTCTTGTTTCCGTTGGCATTCGTCTTCCCCCCCCCCCCCCCGCGTTACGCATGGTCATTTCTATCCCTATAGTTTCGAAATCGATTGTTTGATTTACTTATAATTGTCATTATTATTATTCCTAATAATAGTACCGTTATCACGTGCTGCTATATTTATTCATTATCGTTAATTTTAATTACCGTTATCGTTAATATCATTATTATTTCTCATTATCTTTATTGTAATTATTGCGTGGGATTATAATCGTTTAGAGTCCTTTGTAGAGACTTCTGATAAATCGTTTTATAACTTTTTTCTGTTTTTTTTTTGTTTCCTCTTTTTGCCATTTGCCTTATGTGATAACGGTTTTTTCTTATGTCTTACTGTAAACTAGCAAGTAACTCTCCTTTCTCCCGCTCAATCTTTCTCTTTTTCTCCCTCTTTTTTTCTCTCTTTCTCTCCTTTTTACATATCTACTTACGTTGTAACGGTGCTTGTGTTATATAACTTAGTTAGCTAGTTAGCTAGAGACATGGGCCCAAGGGACCCCGGGGATACGATTCCCGGGGATGGGGGAGAATGGAATTGTTCCCTCGGATCCTACTCGCGCGTTCTTTGTCGGGACACGCGGCAGAATGTCAGTAGGGTTCTTTTTCGTTTTTGTGGCCCGCTGGCGCGCGACCGCCGACAATCCAACGACGATTTTGCGAAAGCGAAAATAAAAATCAATAGAGCGAGCAGCCCTCCTGGAAATATTCTATCCATAGCGCGTCGGCTACGCGTTCCTTTTTCGTTGCGAGCGAGGACCGAGCGAGGAGGAGATCGCAACTTCAGCGAACAGAAGGAGAGTCGCGCGCGTAAGTCACGACACTTCCGATCGATCAGTCCCGCCGGTCTTTTGCCGCGCGCGAGGAAAGAGATCATGAAAAGCTGATCTGCTGTTCGGTTCTCTCAGGCGGGATTTACTCGCGCGCGACTTTACGCAGTGTGGAGCAGCTCGAGCCACTCTGGACCCCCGGGGTCCCTGCTGTTGCTGCTGCTGATGCTGATGCCAATGCCGATGCTGACGCTTCTGCTGCTCGACGGGGCTAGGACGGCGGCTCGACGGCCGACCACCGATCCAGCGGCGGCGGCGGCGGCAACCAGGAGCTAAACGATACCTCTGACGTCGTGCTGAATGTGAGGCAGAGTAGTGAGGCCAGTCAATAACAGGCTCAAGATCAGGAGTATCCGAGTCGCACCGGAGTCAGCGAGGCTCATACTGCCGCATGTCTCTTTGGACCCGGCATCCAGTTTTGCTGTAACACAGTCGCGGTGCGATTTTAATAATTAGGTTCAGAGTTCTCTCCAGACAGGACAAACAGATTCGCCAGCGGTAGAAAAGTATTCCGGTATACATCGCTAGCGACGTTTGTCGATATTCCTGAGAAGTATCAATCATTGAAAAATATCGCTGCTTCACATTATTTGCTGTTTCTTTTATACCAGGAATAATATTAATCAAATCATACGCGGGCATAGTATACCCGGACCAGCAGCACATGTCGGAGGGAAAGGAGAGAGTGATTGTTGTGCTGGTGCTGGCGGTGGTGAGGATATGGTGGTGGCAGCGATCGCCACACACACACACACACACACACACACACACACGCGCGCGCGCGCGCGCGCGCGCGCGCAGGCAGGCAGGCAGGCAGGCAGGCAGGCAAAGCAGGCGGTTGGCAAACACGGTGCGGATCGATGCCACGGGTAAAGTAACTCGCGCGCGTCGAGACCGCGTTGCCGAGCTTCCGCGCGCGAGCGTGCACGTGCGAGCTTTGCACACGCCGCCGTTTCACGCTCGATAAATTTTCTTCGTTTCCTCCCCCTCCGTTCTCTTTGAAAAACTGTGCTCTTAACTTCCTCTCATCGGACTTCTGTTAAGCTGAACTCCCCAACATCGCGAATCAAGTTCGCACCCGGTCAAAAATTTATTGTTATTTAGGTGCTAATTTAATGCCCTAGTCCAAATTTTAGTGCTCAAATCGTTTATCAGGAAAAAATGGGGAGTCCAACTTGCCATTAAGCTGAATCTGCCGTAATATACATATAAATCAATCCTATATAAAAGATAAGTAGGGGAGACCGCGCCTCGATCGTTGGCATCGTTTTCACAATTTTTCGGCATTTGAATTTTTAAATAACTATATAATTTTAATTGCCGTATATCCCAAACAGGAGGGATAGACAAGATATTAAGTTAAACAAAAAATACAAGATAAGTTATGCACTTGTATTTTGCTGTATTCCATCATTTATACTATCCCTCTACACTTATTATGTATCATGAAATAACCATTAAACCTTTTACATTTCCTACAGTAATCATTTTACGTAGGTCGTAACACAAGATCGCGCTTCTTACTACGGTGAGAAATCGATTTACGACAGTTTCGTTAATATTAACAATAAAGAACTGAAATTATAACACAATACTAATATAGCATAAATAAGGCATATAACAGAATAATTGCGAGCAAGTACCTTCATTCCTTTTATTTTTTCTGACATCTGCGGCGTAAAATCCCGCGCGGCGTAAATACCGGAGTGACCCTATTCTCATTTTGTCTCAATGTCAAATTTCCAATCCCAAATCAAACGTTAGCAGATAGTTGTAAATTTTTGTAAAAATTTACAACTATCCTGGTCTCCCCTGAGTAATGCCCATATCACACTAGCGATTGGGCGATTGCGTTTACGTTTGCATTTACGTCTTTTGACCAATCAGAACGGAAATCCCACTCGGCATGTTATGTTGCTGAAATATTGAAATATTCGGAAATGGTGCAGAAATATTTCGTTAACATTTCATTTGTAACTATGCATCGGAAATATTTCAGAAATGTACCTGCATCATGTTTTTTATAATATTGCATTAACAATCTGAAATCTTTCAGAAAGTTGTTTACAATATTTGTAAGTTTCTGTAATATTGCAAAAAAATGTAGCAGATGCAATATTTCAGAAATATTTCTGAAACATTATAAAACTAATATTACGTTTGCATTGCACGAATAATATTTCTATAACATATCAAACGCATATTGCATTTAAAATATTTCTGAAAAATTTCTGAAGGATTGCGTAGGTAATGAAAAATTGAATTGCAGGCAGTGAATTTCTACAATATTGCAGATGTAATGGTTTAGAAACATTTCTGATACATGATAAAACTATTATTTACATTTACATTGCACGTGTTATATTTTTTAATGTTTCACATACAACATTGCATTTGTAATATTTCCGAAAAGTTGCTGACAGACTTTAGAACTTATAAAAAATTAAATTTATTATTATAAAATTTTTTTTATTATATAAATTTATTATTTAATTAATTTTTATTGCATTTTTTTCTCTTTTATTAAGAATTTTCTGATATTCCAAATTTTGTCATATGGCATTTTTAATATAAAATATAAAATACTTAATAATATTTAATATAAAATAATATTCGACGTTGACTGGCAAAAAAGATTTATTCGTATATCTGTATTAATTGTTAATATTGTTATGCGATAGCTTTATGCTCATCAAAATAAGCAAGTATAAGAAAGAAAGAAGCGTCAGAGTCAGAGGATCACCACTACCCTGTTCAATCATCGATGTCAAGCAACAAGGTGCCGGTATACTACTTGGATGGGTGACCAGCTGAGAGAACGGACTTCGGACAAACGCGCGGCGGGTATACGCGCACATGGCTTAATATATATTTTTTGTTCCGGTAACAAAATATTTCATTTTTCACATATCAACAAATAGTTTTTGCGTCAGTAACAAAATTTTGTTTGTTAATACAAATAATTTTTCTCAGTGTAAAATGTATTTAAAATATCTCTGAAGTGTTTCTGCAATATTTTTCGTTTAAGAAATATTTCATAATATTACCAAAATATTGCCGAAATCTTTCAGCATGGTTGCATTTGAAATAATTGCGGACATTGAAACATTGCCGAAATGATGTAGAAACAGTCGTGAAATATTTCTGAAATATTAATGAAAGGTGTACTATTTTAAATGGAATTTTGCAGAAATGTTTCTGAAATATTACATGCCGAGTGGGGTGAATCGCAATCGCCAGCAGCTACTTTCTGATTGGTCAAGAGACGTAAACGCAAACATAGACACAATCGCCAATCGTGTGATACGGGCGTAACGCGTCGAGGACCTCGGCGGTTCGATGAATCGCGACCCTCGTCATTTTCGTTCGCGTGTAGTCCCGATGGGACACTTACACGTAGCGGCGAGCAGCTGAGGCAGATACTTCTTCCAGAAAGTGCACTGTCTCACTCTGGGACCGCTGCCGATCTCTGTATTGTTGAGGTCCAAGGTCAGGTACTCTTTATTGGCAGCGGTGTGCGGCGGCCAGTAAGCCAGAGTCAGTTCCCCGCTCTCGCCAATGTTCGGATCCCTGACCGATCATACAAATTACATGTTTATATATATTGCCGTGCCTATATGAAATCACATACAAAAAGGTTAAATTAATTATTCGCCTTACCCCGTTTTCGCGAAGTTCGCCCAATATCTCATCATCCTCTTTGAGAGCTGCACCTCTTCGTGCGTGTAGCCCTTAGATGAATCTAGCGGTTCTCCGAAGATGTAGCTTATCTCGTCGGCATGCATGACTCCGGTCCATCGCGGCCATGGATTATTCCTGGATCTGGTACAAGTCGTGTTTTCTTAATCGTACGCAATTTAGGAAATATTAGGTGTATGCAAAAATTTTAGTCTTTTTTCGCATATTTTCTCTTTAGGTGCTTAATAGGGATGTGAAACTAGTATAAATAAAACATTTATAAATCATAAATCAATTTTAAATTATGAATTATACTAACAAGAGAACCTCGCGAACTCGAAAATTGATACAATTGATAAAATTCTGATTTTAATGAAACTTCCCACACATGCAAGAGAGGGTTACAAATATTAGTAATAAATATAATTAATTGTAATATTTATTACTAATATTTATTATTATATAAAAATATTTATTACAAATATTCTTATACATTCTAGGGAACGCCTCCTAGGGAATTGCTCCTCTTTTAAAATTAATATTTTTTAAAATATTTACAAAAAACGAAATTACGAAAATCGATCTTTTCTTTACCTATGCTTATAGTAGTACATGTAGACAGTACTACTATCGGCATAACGGCCGGCGAATTCGTTGACGTTGCAGGTGAATTGGTAATCGCCGACGATCTTGTCGAGGGCGTCGCGATTTGCGTGCGGATCGTCCGGATGCAGCCAGTTGCTATACTCATAGATGATTGCGTTACGGCCAATTTGATTCACGTAGGGATTCAGTTCGGAGACGGCGCTGATGAATTGATCGCGTGTCACCTTTACATCCTCGGCGCCGTCGATGCGGAACAGCTCCGTCAGGTAATAGATGATGAAGTAGAAGCCCTCTTCGGTGTTGGAGCCCATCAGGATGTTGGTCTTCTTGAAGGACGATGTGACGAGGGAGCGTTGGGGCGTTTCATCAAGGAACGCACCGTCGATCACCGGTACGAACGGGAACTCGCAGATCCCGAGAGTGCCCCATTCGTTCTTCACCAGGTCCTCCGCGTCCTTCGTCAATAAACAGTCGATCACCTCGCGCAGATTGTGGCGATTGTGCGGACAACCGACCGCCTCGGCCAACCGGATGCCGCGCACAATCGATTCTTCGCGCGAGATTATCGCCCACGGCGCGGTCGGCGAGCCCGACTGCATGATAGCTTGGTTGAAGAGGTGCCTGGAATCGCAGGTTTCTTTCTTTAGTGAAGGAAAGAGACGACATTCATTTAATTTAAATGTAGAATTTTAACATTTTAATAACTTTGTAATAATTAAAAGTTATCATAATTATTGTGGTTTTTTTGTACATGTATCAAGGGGTAAATAAATGTAACAGTAACAGTATAATATTAAAGATAATAGCGCGCGCGTAGCGCGTATCTGTGTATTCTAGTGTTATAAATTATAAGTAGATAAACAATTGAAACAGACCTGGACAGTGGAGAGAGAAGATGCATGGAGACGGAAACCGCGCCAGCGCTCTCGCCGAAGAGCGTCACGTTCTCGGGGTTGCCACCGAACGCGGCGATGTTGTCGCGCACCCATTGCAGGGCCATCATTTGGTCAAAGAGACCAGCATTACCGGGGACGTCAGACGTGCCGAAGTATAGGAAGCCAAGACTGGCCACGCGATATTGCATTGACACCAAGATCACATTCTCTTCCGATACTAGAGTCTTGTGGTCGTACACGTCGAGGGTAGCCGAGCCGGAGTAGAAACCGCCTGAAAGAAGGGTGACAGCTAAAGATATGTTTCTCAAACAAAGGAAATTTCGATAATTCTTTGGAGCCATCTCCGTCCGTGTAAGAAACGGAGATTTTGTCGGCGAAATCGCGCTCTGCGGGACGGGAGAATCGAGATGATGAATTCTCATCACTGGGAACTCACCACCGAATATCCATACCATGACAGCGGCACTCTTAGGCCTGGGATACGGCACCACCACGTTTACGTACAGGCAGTCCTCGTTCAGCGGTGTGTTCGGGTTCCACATAGTGGCGCCGGGGAAGTCGCCGAATACCGTGTCGAAAATTTGGACGCAACTGTTCGGCAGAGTGGTCGCGTTCAGCACGCCCGACCAGCGCTCGACCGGCCGCGGGTGGCGAAATCTCAGCGGACCTGTAATGTAAAATTTGCGAGTGAAATCTTTCTCGAAATTAACTCTGGAGAATGCGGCATTAGGATCTCTATTTCTAATTCACGAAAAAGCTCCTCTTTTTTTAAGCTATTGTAATTCAGAAAAGTACCACTCTCGTCGATTAGAAAACATCGATTCTAAAGTTCCAAGCGAATCTGAGAGATATTTCGTTCACTTCGAAGATTATGCGATTGAGATCGAATGAAACTTCTTTTATCCCATGTCCTTTATTCGTTTTATTGCCCTCTTGATTATATTCTACGCGCGCGCAAAGCGCTTTGAAAGCGCTGTTGAGAATGCACCTCCCAAAACCGCTGTCAGTTACGCACTTTTTCGGCAGGTGTTTTGCAGGGTATTTTGATGGATTTTGATTCACATGCAGTGTGCAAAAAATGATTTCTAAAACTAAAACGTTGCTTGAAAACATGTAATTCACTTTGAAAAACATTTAAAAACATTTTCGTCAATCATGCGCGTAAAAAGCGCTTTGAAAGCGCACGTAGCACAAGAGCGCGTGCAAAGCACTTTGAAAGCGCTGTTGAGAATGCATCTTCTAAAATTGCTGTGAAAATGTGCAATTCGCGTATAAAACATCTACAACTTTCAAATCTTTTAGAAATCATTTTTGACTCGCACGAGAAAAACATGACTCGCCTTCGTGTCTTTGTGGAGAGGTAAAACACGACATTATATTATATACCTATATAATCTTTTACTCTTACTGTGGAAGTTTCAAAGATTATATAAGAGATCACTTTAAGACAAATTATCCGTATGCTCCTATGAACATTTTTTCCATATTAAAAAATCCTTCTTTTAGTTTATTTCAGTGACTGCTGACAGCAGTAAAACTCGTAATCTGGGATCTGGGCATATGAATTTCCTGTTCTCCAGACGCTCGCTGTGATACCATCATATAATATACGTGCGTGATTCAGGTTTTGCATACAGGATATAACAACGATTGGCGCACGGCGAAACGCGACGCGGTAGCCAGTTAATTTATCGCTTTTTCGTATAAGCGAAAGAATAATTGGCTACCGCGTCGTAATGTATCTCGAGCGTGGTAAGTGTGTGCACGAGGCATTACTCGCGAGTACAGAGAGAGGCAGGGGAGGGGGGTCGGACTCACGCCCACGACGCCTGCGTCCGATTGTCATTTTCAAAGTCGCGAATCGTAAACATGTCTGTACGTATGTACGTGCGTGTTCATCAGTCTCATCAAGGTTATTCAAGGCCCATTAGGCCCATAGTCTCGATCTGTGTGCAAACGCGTCAAGACGTGTTTCGTCCGGTATAGAATTTTGTGAAAATTGACGATGTAATATATCATCCGTGTGATAGTGGGTTAATATATACGAGTAAAAAGAAGAGGAATAAACGTATATATTTAGAGTAATGGTCATATAGCCCCTGATCAAAAGAGCTTGAACTAATATTGTCTGAACTGGTCATCAAGGTATATATATATATATATATATTTATATATTTATAAATTTTGATTATTCATATGTATTCTGTACGTATTATATAACGTATAAAATTATAAATAGAATTCTGTCTCGAATTCTGTCGACAGAATTCGAGACAGAATTATATTTATAATTTTATAAATTGTTCTACAAAAACGCGTAAAATATGCGCAGTGTATAAATACCCGTGAATAGTAAATGACATATCTACTATCAAATTTGATCAATAATCTAAAGAAGAAAAGAAAGAAAAATATATATGACAATGTCTTGGTCCAGGAAGCAAGTTACTAATTACACAAGGAACATTTTCCAAGGAAAAGGGAAAGGCTCTACCCAGGTCACCAAAGTCTAATTATAAAGAGCATCTTCAAATCAGAAGTAGTAGCTCTGTACGGAATGCTCTGCAAAGATTGAAAAATCAAAGAGTTAAAAAAAAATGGAGGAGAATTGGTACAATTGATGAAAGGTCAGACACAGAGGAAGAAATAGTTGATGATAATCTAGAAGTACCTAAAAAATGCGGTGCAGAAGATAGATATCAATATGGAACTTGAAAAAGCTCGCAAAAGAATTCAGAAACGAATAAAGAAAGCACGGCACGAAAAAGAGACGGAGGCTCATGTGCGTGAGAATCCGGGAATAATAGATAAAAAGTCGTTCAAGTTCTGTCGCCTCCAATCAATCTGCCACATTTAGTCGTTCAAGCTCTGTCGCATCTAACAAACCACTCGTCACAACATCTCCAGTATTGAATGTGCAAAAAATATTGACTAGTAAATACAGATTAGCTTGAATAGCTAGCTTTAATACGTTTGTACAATATTGTTTTTCTGTGTTGTATCTCACTGTCTTGTTTAATGTGTTTTGATTTTGTTTAGCGCCCTCAATGGCAAATGAATCAAACTTGGATCAAGATATATCTTCATCTTCGGCAGGTAAATGTATGCAATTGTAACATTTATTCACTTATTTCCTTCACTCTACCCAGTGAAAACAGCCACTAGGCTTTTGACTACAAAATGATGTCAATATGACGTCAAAATCGTCATCATTTTCTCTGTTCTACCTGAGAGTCGATTATGTACTTTAAAACAGTGAAAATTACAAAAGTGAGCGAATTTATACTAGAATATTTAAAATTTCATTGGCTCACATTTCATTGGTCACCTGGTAAATTCGCTCACTTTTGTAATTTTCACGAAGTTTTGAAGTACACAATCGATCTTCCAGAATACAAATAAAATTCGGTGTTATTTATGTGTAAACATATTTTAATTTATTTTGCCATCATTTTGATTACTCATTTTGACATCATACTCCTCGTCGATTTGATGACTTTGACATCATTTTGACTAAGTTGTTTTCACTGGGTAGTATACTAAAACTATCCTATTATATATCTTTTACGTTATAAAATACATCTTTTGAAAATGTGATTTGTCTTTACAGGTTTTGCTATCTGGGTGTATGTTGGCTTCAATTTTTTATGTTACAGGTGTGCTTGTGCTAAAGACAGTTCTCTCTAAGTAAGAAGAACTGTCGCGGAATCTTAAAAATGTAGACCATAAACTGGATCTTATTATGGACCTTGTTAGAACTGCCGAAAATGTAAAAAAACCAGAAGGATGGCCTACTCTTCCATTACATGACATGAATTCTTTTTATGAATGGGAGTTGTTTTTCTCCAAAACGGCGACAACTATGATTTTGCGGTAAATATTTAATGTCCTGCATTTATGAAAACTTAGCAACTCATCTCAATACATCAATATAACTTTTTGCTAATAACTTTTTTTCTGTACAGGTATCCCATTTTAGTGTTGTAGCTGGGAGAGGGGTACACGAAGGAGAAATGACCACTATATGTAAGAAGATTTTCTCTCCTGAGGTTGCATCACAACTGAATTGGACAAGGACAGAAATAAAAAATCAAGTCACTAAAGTGTGGTACGTGTAAGTAACATTGGTAAGTTATTGAAAATTCTGAGAAAAAAACATGAAACTCTTACTTTCAGTCCTACTGTGTCTTAAGGGGGGAGCCTCATGTAAAACGCTGAAAACAAGGCAATTTTCTGAAATTTTTTTTAAAGAGACATTAAAATGAAACTTATTGAAACTTGGGTAATGGTTTTAGCAACATTTGTAGATGTAAAAATTTTTTATTGCAAAATTCTTTATTTATAAGTAGCAACAAAGCCTATTCTCAAAGGCCGCGACGCCGGACTTCACAATTGGCGTGCAACATTGCGCCTGCAATTATCACTGAATCAAAAATACAAAATTTTTTTACTTTTATTATAAGTTATCATTGTCGCAAACCTATTTGTTTAGTAAAAAATGCAAAATTGAAAAAATAACAGAACTTAGAAAAAAATTTGATTTTTACGGAAAAAATTTTGACTTTAATTATGTAATAAAAGTTATTTAATTTGATAAAATAACTAAACAAGTAGGTTTACATACAATGGTATTTTATATAGTTATCTACATGCATGCCAAAGGGCAAGTCGATTGGTCGAATAGTTTATGAGTAATCTTGCACGCCAATTTGAAAAACATGGTTTTGAGAAAAACGCGTTTAAGGAGGTTCAATCGTTACTTGTGAGTCAAAAATGCGATTAAGATAAATGTCATTACAGCGATCCCGAATCATATGCAATATTAGTATAATGAATTGTGGATGCTACTTACGTGCTATATTCTTCGTCAATTATTAGTGTATAGAATATTAACTATTATATAAGAGCGTCAACGACTTCTCGGGAATACACTTGGCAACGTTGCGTTGCGCTTCTGTGACCGGTTATGGCGAGTGACAACGGAACGGTTTCGTGAGCGGAGCAGGCGGAGCAGCGGACGCGCGAAAAGCGAAGAACGCGACGTTGGGCAGTAATATCGTCGAGAAGCCGCGGTCGTTCATTATCCGGCGAGGGAGCACACGTGCGACTCTCGCGCGTCTTCGCGTCGTTATATAGGTTATATTCAGCGCGCACACGGAGATCGGGGTAACAACCGACCTGAGTCAGGAGTTGATCTCTCGTTACCTCGACGCGGAAGCGTGCTCGCGCGAAGGACAGGAGCGACCGAGGAGGAACGGCGAGGAAGACGAGAAAAAGTGAGAGATAATCGCCGTCGCGCAACCGCCGTTTAATTATGACGACCGTAGACCCGGACGACGATATCAAGAAGCTGCCGCATATGCAGTGGGACAGTACGGCGGTTCCCGGGCTATCCGGCTGCATGACACCGGAGAGATGACACCGTTGGAATGCCAAATAGCCGGTCATCCCTTCAATGGCGAGAAACAAACTATCGGTATGTTGGTATGCAGACGGACTGAAGAGGCTCGGAGTCGATATAAAAAGGTCGATTTTGTACAAAAAGAAGAATCAAGTCGATAGAGAATGTTCTTGTTGCTAACAAACGAAGACACACAGGATATAAAAAACCAGGTAGATATATAAAACATGTAATACATGCAATACCTATCAACATAACCTCTTTAATTTCTTGAACTGTGCTTAGAACGGCGATATTATTAATTCTATTTATTCTTTTTATATAGCTGAGAATAATAATGGACGTCGACTGATAGATTTGCACTTGCTCGCCGATGAGTTGTGATGCAAATCATGTAACGTTTCAACATCGCTGCGGCATGTAACGAAAGAGGATCGTATGGACTTGCCAGCATCTTTTACATCACTTGCCAGCTATGTCAGAGGGTATATCAAGTCAACACGTCAAAAATAAAAGAATCGTCAAGATTTTCGAAACCAACATACATAGTTGATACTACATAATTGTATTTTGTGGGATATTACAGGATATGTTATCTGCTAAATAAAAAATAATAGTAGTTCTAAAAATGTAATTTCCCTGAATTACTGTCCCATTGCATTTTCCAAAATAAAATTACTAAAAAATCTACAAAAATTCAAGCAGAATTGTTTTGTATTATAGGGATATTATAGGATGTATTATAGGGATATTATAGGATGTTATCTGCTAAATAAAAATAATAATAGTTATATTAAATAAAAATGTAATTTCTCTGAATTACTGTTTTATTGCAATTTTCCGGAATTTGATGCACTAAAAACTCTACAAGAATTCACGTAGAAATAGATGTCAGGCAAAATAAGGTTAGATTCGCATCAGCTGTTGCGCTGCGGCATTGCCAAGTCTGTCTGTCGCGAGGTAAAAGTACTTTGTAACAATAAAGCCTTTTATTACTCGAAAGCCACGGTAGAGCCTTAATTTTTTTATATGATTTACATAAACACTTTACACAAATAATCGCAAAACTTGAGCAATATTGACCGTATAGTTTTTCTGTAATATTATTCAGAAGTTGACCACTTTTAGCCTATATCCTTATGGAGAAAGTCGCTCCGAGGTAGATTATCACTGGTTTAGTACACACTTAGCCACTATAGGACTTTAAAAAACTAGCATTTGATAGATGAAACATCAAGGATTGTGTAAAGACCTTAAAAATCGGACTTTACCGTGTGTATTGAAGGCTTTATCGTCACAAAGTTCAGGTCCCAGCGTAGAATAAGTGATTCCCGAGTCGTTGACGCTCTCATATTATACCCCGACATATATTTATTAATATTCTATACATTAATAATTGACGAAGAATATAGCACGTAAGTAGCATCCACAATTCATTATACTAATATTGCATATAATTCGGGATTGCTGTAATGACATTTATTTTAATCGCATTTTTGACTCACAAGTAACGATTGAACCTCCTTAAAGTTTCAAGTTCTCAAAGCGCGTGCTTTACTTGCGTAACGCTCAGGTATAAAATCATCTATTTCAAGTTCGAATTTCGCTCTGGAACTTTGGGAACATATTCTAGAAATATTATACTATAATGATTTGTGCAATAAAAATTTTTTCGATTTTTTTGACTGGTTACATGAGGTTTCACCCTTAAAATACACCTGATCTACTTTTAATAAATATAATGATTAACTTATCAACTTAAATCCTGTATTTAGTATTTTTCATGCATAATATTGTAAATTTTTAAATCTTTTTTCAGGTGCATGTGGCAAACAATATAAAGGAAATTTTTCGAGATCAAAAGTCACAGGCTCCATAAGTACGTGGCTTCGAAGTAATTCAAAGAGGAGAGCCATAAATAATTTTGATTTGCCAAGATAATAAAGATTTTTCAAAGGTCGATTACCTCCCTTAGGTACAGATACTTTTTTGTTATGTTTCTTGCAATGTCAAAATAGGTTGTTAGAGGAAAATACATATATGAAATTATATAAACTACAGGTATAAATGTAAAAATTTTTTTTACAGGTGACAAGAGGTAACAACGAAAGCGGGACTATACACGAGTGGTTATAACCAACAGATGAGTCGATATTCGTACGGCTATCCGTAGATGCAGCGCAGAAGCATTTTATTTCATTTTGTATCGCAAAAGTTCGTAAAAAAATCGAAATAGATTATTTCCAATTATGTTCCAATTATATTTGACATGTGAGAATGCTTGAGGATTATGAGCACAGTTCTTGGCCTGAGAGAGCGTTTTCTCTTCCGCATATCTCTTCGCCTCGCGAGACTTACCGATGGGTTTCTGGGCGTAGGGAATGCCAAACCAGGTGTCGACGCGCTTGCCGGTTGTCGCGACCATGGACTTGCCGCGGATCATGCCATTTCTGGTGTGCACTACTAGCGGGTCGTCAGGGTGGCCGGTAACAGCAGCCGGTCGTGGAAGCTCCTCACTCGACCTGGAACTCCTAGCGTCTGACGACGTCTCCTGTGCGGCGTGCAGCTCATGCTCGTGATGCCTACGGTGGGACGGTGAGCTGCGGCAAGGATCCGGCTGCAAGACAAGAAGCAGGAACAGGCTCAGCACCAACAGGGCCTCCAGTCTGCCGGGGCTGGCCCGCCAGGAACTTGAATTTTTCGACATCGTGCCTGCTCAGCTGCAAAAAAATAAAGAATTACATCGTACTTCCTACGATAAATTCAAACCCCTGAATAGGATTTGTTTACGAACAAATTCTCTAGTCGCGTGAATAAAATATAATAAAAATGGACAACGTATGAAATTATAAATAGAACTCTATCTTTAAATCTGACTGAATTATAGATTGTTTAAAATGTGGTTCGCGTATATACAGAATGAATGAACATGGGCAAATTACTTGATATAAAATATTAAAAAGCGATTATTTGAGAAAACCGTTCCACGTGTAGCTCTCGATTACTCTTCTATCCGTGTATTACGATGTACAATGTCGAAAATGTCGCGACGGAAAATTGGAAAGGGTTAATCCCCATCGGAAACTGCTCGTTTCTTATCTAGCAAATCATAAATTCGGCTTCTAAGCGCAGGAACGTTTCATTGCTCACGCGGACCGTCGCAAATATCAAATACGAACACTTCTTATACATGCACGCAGGTCGTGTTCAATACGCGCGTCGATTCAGTCCCCTCTCTCTCTCTCTCTCTCTCTTTCCCCGTCTCATACACGTTTAGGGCGGAGGGGGATGGATTAGTAGGATGATAGTATTCTCTAGTCACCACACGAAGGTCCACGTTGATTAGCAACTTCCTTCTACGTGTTCCGTGCGTGGCCGTACGTATGCTCGGTCACACGGGAGCGGCGCGGCGGTCCACGGGAACGTCGTCGCACGCGGAAGTTTACGCACGAGGACGAGATTAACGTCGTCGTAAAATGAGAATTTATTGGTCGCACGGTGGCGAGTGGCACCACGAGCGAGCGCCGATACAAGTTTCTATGTCGGAATAGAGAGGCAAATTAGCGGCGGAAACAAGGCCGCCAAGGTTCTCAGCGAATCCCGAGTGCGCCGGTAATCGGCTTCAATTTAAACATCAAGTTCGAACAATCGAATATTAATTGCGTTCAATCTAACGTTTAATTCAAGCGGTACGATTCGTACGCGTAATGTTCGTTAAATTGATTTGAATAAATTAAAAAAATTGAGCTTCTTTGGGAAAACAAAAAGCGATAAAAATTAAATAAAAAGAAAGTGGAGCGAAGCGAATTAACAAATCGCGAATTAGGATTTTTCTCTTTTTTAGACTCACCGGGATTTTTCAACGGTATTTGCCGCGCGACACTTTCCCTCTCTCTCTTTCTCTCTCTCTCTCTATCGACGTTCTTTCGTCCCGTTTATCGATACTTCTGATAGTTATTCAATTAGAATCGTGCGCTCGATCGCGAAGAAACCCGCGAAGGAATATTATCGCGACACCGCGTCGCAATAATAACGACGGTCACGACGCGGAGATCAGCCCGACGACGAAAAGCACTGACAACGGATGATGACGGACTAGCGAGAGCGTTTACGGGAGTGATAGCGCGAGGCCTTCATTCGTGGAACATCGTTCGTCTCTGTAACATAGCACACGTACAGCACGATTGATTGAACGAGGATGTGTCGGAAATGAAGGGCGAAACGCTGACGAATGCGCGGGGACCACGAGCTCATTATTTGCGGATTACTACTGAAAGAGAGACGAGGAAAAGAGAAGAAAAGCGAGGGGGAAAGAGAGGGGCGAGGGAGGGAGCGAGGGAGGGAGCGAGAGAGAGAGAGAGAGAGAGAAAGAGAGAGAGAGAGAGAGAGAGAGAGAGAGAGAGAGAGAGAGAGATGTCTATAGTAGCTTTAGGAGTAACAAAGACAAATTAATGCATGCGATAGAAGTAAATAAATAATAATAATAGATAATAAAGTATGAATCCTTCATATTTAATCAGTGAGACCGGAGGGTGCCGCAATGTCGAACAACTGGTTACATCGGTGAAGTTTAGTCTCTCACGTTCAGTCCCCGAGACACGCAGTTTTGCGGTGACGGTTTCGCCACGACAGCGAAAACTTCGTCACCGCAGAATCCCTTTCTCTTTCGCGTATTAGATTTGATCCCCTTCTCACCGCTTCTCCCCCTTGTCGAGTAACGACACTCCATCCGAGAGCGCGCGCGTTCCTTCATTTTGGCCCCGGGTGATCTATGATTTCGTTACCCGCGAATTCCGCGTACGTCTCTCTTAGGGTGAGCGAATGTCAAAATTAAACGGAGGGTACATGTACATATGTGCTTATTAGAAATTCCAGTCATCCGTGTATCTGCCTCCCTCCCTCGACAGCGACGTAGAATTCGCATATAAAGGGATGAAAGGAATCGGGGGATGTGAAGGGGAAGGGGAAAAAAGGGAAATTCCTCCCTCGCGTCCCGTGTCCGGAATAAAGATAAAGATACGCGATACGCAGAATAATTTGCAGGACGTGGTTCGCGGCGCAGAGATATCCTGGAACGCCGACCGGTGCGGCGCGCGAAGTGGCGCGGGCGGTGCGGTAATTAACGCCCGGTAATTAAAGAATTTTAGCGCTTTCGAAGATTGTTCTTACCGCTCGCTCTTCGAAATAGCGAACTTTATTTCTATTCTCGTACAAATTACTTTCTCGTTGAAGTGACTTCCCTTAAATTGGACGTCTCTTTAAGAATTCCGAGAGCGACGGCTCGTGGTTCGACGATATCGGGCGGAACGTCTGCGAATTTTCGTTATTACACAGATACACGTATCGCGCGCATACATCTATGCACACACACGCATATACGCGCGCGGGCACAGACACACGGACGATCGTTGACCGAGAAACGAAAGGTCAGGGCGTCACTGGCTCGGCTTGGCTGGCTGCACTGCGGCCCGCTGAGTTTCGCGGCGCGGACATTTAGGAAATTACCGTAAGGGCGAGGGGTGAGAGACGAGACCGGCCGGCTGCTCGACGAAATATGCATTCGGCGCAGCTCGGCACCCCCCCCCCCGGGCGTGCCGAAAAAAAAGAAAAAAAATCACCGGATGTCCTACTCGGCGAAAAGAGATTTCGCCGGCCGACACGCGGAATCGATTTTTCCTCCCGGACGAAAAATATCGAGGCTTTCGCGATTTTGCGAGAGATCGAAAACGAGGGGTAGTTCTGAAAGACGATTCTCTCCTTCAAAGAGACTTTCACCTAATATTATATAATATTTTTATTTAATATTATTTTTATGGGGTATCATGTTAATTATTTGATATATATCTAGACTATGCTAAATATCTTTCTGATAATATACAGATTTCTTCTAAACATAGTAATGACGTACTTGTCATTTTAGACAGCTTTGATGATGAACCATTAAACGAACAAAATAACATCATTAAGAGGTCAAAACTGTTTCCTGGGGTTTGAGGATCTAACATTATTTTCTTTTAATACCACCATTGTTATCTACAAAATTATATATGATTGATGATTGGGCCCGGATTAGCCAAAAATGGGCGAAGTTTTTTTCTGATAATGCAGCTTCTGTCTAAAAAAAGTAGCACTTTCCTGCGTTTTATAAAAATATTACGATGATGAAATATCTTTATGAAACGAGATATCACAAAATATCTCTTTTATGATAGGTGCATTTCCCAAAGTTTTATTTAAATCAAACAAGTATTACAATAGAAAAAGAGAAAACTCTAATTCAAGAGGTGGCAAGTTTCGAGCGTTTCAAAATATCGTTTTAATGCTCTTCAGCTTGAGAAGTAAATCAAAGTAACATATTATTAGTTAAAAGAAAAGTTTCTATTACTATACGACATGTCATTTTGAGGAACAACAGTAATTTATTGTAAGAAAATGACTGAAATCAAACGTATGTAGGGATGGGGTATGTTGGCTCATATCAAGGCACGCTTAGCTTGATTTGTTGTTGCCGCGCGCATGAGACCTGTCGGAGTATGTGATTTGCTATCTATAATGCTAGAAGCTAGATACCTATATATTTATATTAATATTTTTATGTTGAAGAAAGCTACATCTAAAACAGTTTACAATTGTTTTTCTGCAACAGCATTTTGCTATTTGATCATTACAAAGTAACTTTAAAAGATACTATCTTTATCGAGAAGTACATATCTGTTACCCATTTTGTGTTTCTATTACGTTTCCATTAATTTAACCCTAATCCCTCCAACTATGCTTTTTCGTATCCCACGCGTTTCTAACGGTCGTTCGTTCCGGAAAACCAATGGCTGTGGGATAATCTCCCCACCTCTAAAAAAGTTGTTATAGTAGGGAATATTAGGTAGAAATTTCAAAACCCTAGCTCATTTATTCTCGAAACGGCAAACAGTCAAAATCGCGTTGGGACACGAAAGTGCATGGTTGGAGGATTACGTCAGTATATTGTGTGTAGGTAAGTGAGAATTTTTGTTTTGATAAAAATGTATTTTTGTGTACAATTTAAGCGTATTTAAAATATTTTTGTCGTTAAAAAAAATTAGACATTTCACAGAGGACTATTATGGCTCAGAGGCAGACGGAAGAGGTAAGGAGGAGCTACGATTATAAAAAAAATATAATTTTTACATAAAAAATATCTTTCACACTTCAAATTTGTCTTTTCTTATTCAGAAATTCTTTTTCTAACATTCTTAAAGTCCATCTGTACCATTTAAAAATGACTAAATTTGAGGCGACAAAATTAAGTATTTCTACTTAATTAATAATTATCTTATTTTTTTTTATTCGCACTACTTTTAGTTTTAATTTGCGCGCTGAAACATTAAATTTCGTCAATTTGTTCCTAAGTTATGATTTTTTAAATAAAATTAGTCGTAACATGTGTTTTCCAACATATAATTGTTGTAAAATTTAAATAAATAATTTCCAAATTTTCTTTACATTGATTTTTAGTCAAAAGTATAAAGATATTATAACAATTTTTGGGGAATTTTTCCAAAGCTATTAACATACTGAAAAACGCGTGGGACACGAAAGTGCATGGTTGGAGGAATTAAGTGGCGGAAGAAACGTTGGAAGGATTATGGTTAACATGGACTTTTGTCGCATAGCCTACTTATCCTATTATCGGGGCAAGTTAGATACAATGCAGCATGTTCGTATTTTACTTATTACAAAGAAACTATACAGTATACAGGAGCGCAGCGCAAAGCAGCGCGGATTGACTTACCGCCGGCGGTGTACCTATCATTCTTTTACCGCAGGCCTCCGTAAATACTTTAATACGTTACGTTCGATCGTGTCCTGCTATTATTTATACTAACACATACACGTATATATTCGCCCGTGTATGTGTTAGTATAAATAAAGGATATAATAAGTTTAGATAAAAATAGAGGATATACCTCATGGTATCCGTTATTTTTGTCTAAACTTATAATCAGCTCGGGCATCGCCGGGATAATTTACCTTCGTCGAGAGTCACGGATTCGCGGCGTCATTCGCGCCTCGTGTCCGTTATAGTCGGATCCAGGTCGAGCAAACGAGCGCGAGCAAACACGAATGAATGACTAGCGACGTCGCTCGCTCGTCATTGAAGGTATACTGTCTATTCGTGCTCGTTCGAGCTCGTTCGTTCGGTCTGGATACTTCAATAACGCAAATCCGCGAAAGCGTCGACAAAACGCCTTAAAATCGATTTAACTACGAGAAACAAAAAGTCTGAAGAAATGTCAGATTTTATCTGACGTCACACCAATCGGTCGCATCCCGTAACTCATCTCCGTTACGCCAGTCGTGACGTTTCTCGCTGAGGGCGATCAGGTTCGGTCAAATCGATTCAATCTGATCGCGCAACGTCAACAGTTTTCCCGTGCGGGAAAACGTTGATCCGGGATCGCTCGGTTGTGCTGGGAAGTTCGGCGCGAAAATCGACCTAACTACGAAAAGCGGAAAGTTAGAAAACCAATTGGACCCGCGGTCGGGGTAGGGAGAACGAAGAAGCGACGGAGTGCGAAAGAGAAAAATTACGTGGAGAGCAAACGCTGGACGCGCAAACACGCCATCAGGCTCCCCGTTCGCACGTCCAATCAGAATCGGACTGAAAATAGGAATAACCGAGCTCCGACTACTATACGCTCGACTCCACAATTATGCATTTCACCGATTCAACCCCGACTGACTACCAATTGTTTTTCAATACACACGGGACGAGACGGGACGGGAAAGGACGAATGAAAGCAAAAGGACGGATGAAAGGAAGGAAGGAAGAACGAAAGGAAGAAAGGAAGGAAGACACCAAAGTTTCGACGGCGGCCGGCGAACGATTTTTCTTCTTGCCGGGTTGTGCGCTGCATTGCGGCTACGACGCGGCGCAACGCGACACGGCACGATGCGACGTAACGACCGTGTCGTCGTTGCCGTGCGTTTGGCTTCGAAATACGGCACCACAAAGGCCGGTATTTATTATAGTCGGATCTTATTTCAAGACTGCCTGAGGCGGAGCCCCTCCCCCCCTCAAAAGAAAATATAGGTATATAATAAGATTATATATTATTCGG